TTTTGGTTTTTTTTTTTATATCATAGATTAGGTTTTTTTCTTTTGAAGGCGTGTGTTTCTCTGATTTTCTATAGAAGAAGGTAGAAAAGTCAATATGATAAATTCTAAAGAGATCAAGTTAGATTCTATTATTAATATTCTTTAAGCATTGTGGATTAGGACAAAAACTATGTCAAATCAGAATAAAAAATTATATATAACCATACATAATGGTCAAAAAGCCGGAGTGCCTCATCCACCACATCAAATTATAATAAAGGTTCTAAATTCTCAAACAATTATATCTACTTCAAACATGGAAGGTGCATCCATTCAAGGCAATGATTTGACAATAACAACAACAAAAGAACCAACGATCAGCCTTTTGAAAAAGTTTGATGGCACTTGCAAAAAATTTCATGGCTTTGTAAATTAAGTATGACTAATCACCTTGCTTCAACTCCAATGATATTTCACTGAAGTATCTCGTATTGGTTTGATTGGAACCTTGTTCTAGAGTTAAGCTTTATCTTAAATTGCCCCATTATTTGAAAAGAATTGTCTTATATTGCACAATTTTGAAGCATTTTTGACAGCATTTGCAGAAGCATTTAGTGAACATGATAAGGTTCATTTTTCAATAACTAAAATTCAAAGAAATACCAGCATACATATCAAATGAGGAGTATTGGCACATTATTAAAAGCATTATAGGAAAATGAGGGTGTCTAGCGACAATAGAGATCGTACGATTGGATTCTTCACTATCACAAACTAAAAAAAGGTCTTGTACTCTCTATGAGCCTTTCTCATTGTTTTATTATACCTGTATGATTAGGAGTCACAAAACTAGAGTTTCATACATTACTTGACTTGGGAGCCTTTGCATGTTTTATTGATGAAGAATTTTATAGATCACACAAAATGTGTATGATCAAAAAACCCAAAGTTGTACATGTAGAAGTAATAGATGGTTGACCTTTATCCTTTCGAAACGTCACTTATAAAATAATTCTATTAGAAATAACCTTTGACAACCATAGCAACCAAGTAGTATTCAATGTCATTAGATCATTACCAAGTCCAATCATTTTAGGACTCTCATGGCTTACAAAATATAATCCACAGATAGATTGAATATCATGAAAGTTAGAATTTTTTTTAGTAGACCATGGATCCTCTAGATCAATGAAAAAGCTTCTAACACCCAACTAGCCAAAATTTAAACAACATTTATTTATTGAAGCTAGAACATTTGTAAGGGTAGCCAAATAAGGTACTACTTTTGTTATCTATGCAAATCTACAATTGGAATCTGTGGTTGCTACAACAATAATTTCAAAGGCATATAAGAATTTTATAAATGCATTTGAAAAGAAAAATGTAGATATTTTGCCGAAGTATCACTCTTACAATTATGCAACTGACCTTCAAGAAGGTGCTCAACCACCATTTGGACCCATCTACAATTTATTCCTAAATGAGTTTGTGACTTTAAAAGAGTACATTGAAGAAAATTTGGTTAAGAATTTTATTCGACATTTCAATTCATCAATTGGTGCTTCGATATTGTTTGTGAAGAAGAAAGATAGATCCTTACAAATGTATATCGATTATTACGGTTTTAATAAAATCACGATAAAGAATCAATATCTATTGCCATTGATATCCAAATTTCTTGATCAACTTAGCCAAGCAAAGTTCTTTATAAAGATTGATCTATGATGTGTGTATAATTTGGTATGCATGAAGGAGGGAGATGAATGGAAGACATCATTTTTCATCATATATGGATATTTTGAATGCAATGTCATATCTTTTGGACTTATCAATGTTCCAAGCATATTCTAATATTTAATGAATGATATATTTTGTGAGTATCTTGATGACTTTGTTATAATCTATTTAGATGATATTCTGATCTTTTCCAAGAATCCAGAAGACCACAAAAAATATGTCCGCCTTATGTTGGAAAAGCTATGAAGTACTCAGCTATATGAAAAATTAAAAAAGTGTGTATTTTATGCACATCAAGTCAAATTTTTTGGATATATTATTTCCAATAAAGGTCTTTTTATGGATTCAAAGAAGGTACAAGCAATCATGAATTAGGCAAAGCCAAAAACTATATGTGATGTCCAATGCTTTCTTGGATTTGCAAACTTCTACAAGATTTTTGTTAAGAATTACTCCAAGATTGTTGTTCCACTTACGCGGTTGACATGCAAGGATAAATTAGACTATGGCTCTAAAGTAGAGAAAGTTTTTCAAAGCTTAAAAGATGCTTTCACAATAGCTCCAATTTTGATACATTTAGATTTCAACAAGTCTTATTTTATGGAGATGGATGCCTCAAACTTTGAATTGGGAGTATTTTTGTCACAATATGGAGAAGATGGCAAACTTCATCTAATTGCATTCTATTCTAGAAAATTATCAATTGCAAAAACTAATTATAAAATCTACAATAAAGATTTACTTGCTATCATACATTCTTTCCAAGAATGGTGCCATTTTTTTGAAGGCCCTTTTCATCACATGATTGTATATACAGATCACAAGAATCTTAAATACTTCATGTTAGCCTAAGTATTGAATCATTGCCAAGCACGTTAGAATATATCTTTATCACGATTTGACTTTTACATCACATATCCATCCAAGAGTCAATAAGAATTATTAAATGCATTATCAAGACGTTCTTACCTTGAACCAAAAGAAGGCAAGGCAACATATGATCAATAATGGGCAACCTTGTTAAAACCTAAGCAATTTCATCATTAAACAACCAATGTATTAATGCTTGTGGATTTATAATTTCTTGATTTGATTCGTAAAGCCTCAAATATGAATCTTCTTATTCTTAATATCAAGCGTCTTGTTAATAACATTTCTAAAGAATCTCCTAAATTCAAGTATGAAAACAACCTCTTGTTCTTTGAAGAATGTTTGTTCATTCCTAAAGGACCAACTCACTTGTGCATTCTCCAAACACGCCATGATTTCCCTATAGCCGGACATTTCAGATTCAACAAGACCTTAGAACTTCTATCTAGAGACTTTTGGTGGCCTAAAATGTGGAAGGATCTTAAAGAATTTGTACTATCATATGATACTTGTTCAAGGTCAAAGAACCCTCAACATCAGCCATATGAACTTCTTCAACCCCTTCCTATTCCAAGACAACTATGGTCATCTATCTCTATAGATTTCATTACAAATCTTCTACCATCAAACTCATTTGACACTATTTTGTAGTTGTAAATCAATTGACTAAGATGGCACATTTTATACCTTGCAAGAAGTCAATTACTGGTGAAGAAATAGCAAGACTCTTTATTGACAATGTCTATCATTACCATGGATTGTCAGAAGATATTCTGCCAGATCATGGACCATAATTTGTATCAAGGTTTTAGAAGGTACTTTTCAAGATTCTTAAGATTGACATCAACCTTTCTTCTATCTTCCACCCTCAAACTGATGGCCAAACAAAACGAGTCAATAAAATTCTTAAGCAATATTTGAGGTGTACCATCAACTATCAGCAAGATAATTGGACTTCTTACTTATTGTTGGTAGAGTTTGCATATAACAACACAATCCATGTATCTACGCAACAAATGCCATTCTACTCAAACTACAATCATTATCCAAAGTTGGATATGATAGAGCCTTCAAAGTCGGCAAATCCAGCAGCACAGGAATTTTTTACAAAGATGGCCGAACTTCAAGCAACCACGAAGACTCACTTAGAAAGGACTCAACAACATTATAAGCTACTAGTAGATGAATTAAGGACGGAACATCTTCCATTCCAAGTTGGTGACAAAGTATGGCTTCTTCAGTATAATATAAAAACCAATAGGCCATGTGATAAGTTGGACTATCAAAGATTGGAACCATTTGTGATTCAGAAATAAATTTATTACATAACTTATTGCTTAGAGTTACCTTCATCCATGAAGATTCATCCAGTCTTTCATGTTTTACTTTTAGAAAAGTATAAAGAATTGACCATATTAGGTCAAAGACAATTACTACCTTCTATGGTTGAAATCAATGATCATGTTGAATTTGAGGTAGAAGAGGTATTAGATTCAAGAATAAGACATGGAAGGCTTGAATATCTAGTTTATTAGCGCAGATATGATATCAATGATTGCACATGGGAACCAGCTAGCAACCTTATAAATGTACAAATAAAGGTTCAAAGGTTCCATCAACGACATCCATCTAGATTAAAATCAGCAAAATGAAGAACACTAGCTTGGTAAGATTGCTTCACTATGAAGATTCTTAATTCTTGGTCTCATAAAGAAGAGGAGGAAGTTACCTTTGAAGAGGGAGTTGTTGTCAAATATTTAGAATAGTATAAGTGAGTAGTTTGAGTTCACGACTATAGCCTATTTATATTCTTTTGGTCTTGTCTACTTAATATGATATGGATAGTCAAGAAATAGACGCCTTGTTTGTCATACAATTTCAACCAAGTAGCTCGTAAAGACGACTCCAAGATGAAGAGCCACTTGAATCATGAAGACGTTGAAGGATACCTAGTAATAGGTCACTAGTAATTATGTTTGAGGTAGAACATGCCTATGAAGGACGTCCAGAAAGAGAGTTTGTAGGATAATTCCATAATGAAGATACCGAAGTCTACTTAAAAACCCTACATTCTCCACCCGCCTTGACATGTAACTAACTCTCTCGACACCTTTCTGTCCCGACGAAGATAGAAATCCTCTCACTTCCCACAGGCGATGTGGACAATCAAGCGCACTGCATTCGCGAGGCATAAGACCATTTCCATATGGTTCGGCTGCAGACAACGCCGGTCTGTGCAGAGAAGCTCACCGTGGTCGCCATGGCCAAATCCAATGAATGGGGTATCCCCCTCTCTCTCACCTTAGCGTCATGGATGAATAACAGTCGAGTTGAGTTTTCATCATCCACTGTTTTCAGTTGAACCTATTCTGACGTGGGCTTGTGGTGATAGGGCCAATAGAGGAATCCATTCTGGAGTGGAACTGCTTTCCTCTCTCTGCTCCAGCACAGCATGAGAGCGAGCGAGCGAACATGGATTTTTGCTTCCCTTTCGCAACCAGGACACGAGGATCGAGGGCGTCATTGACAACAGCTTGGATGTTGTGTTTGCGTCATCACTAGTAGTAGTTTGGTTCCAAAGGAAAGCACATCTTTTTGAGAAGTAGTGCTGCTGATGGTCAGATCTTTCGATCTGGAGCTACGACGTCGTCATGGTGGTGTGTAGATGCCGCAAGGTTAGTTAGTTCATCCCCAACCCTAGTTTTAATATGTCTTCGTCGCTTTCCAAATAAACGTGTGATGCTTGAAGCAATGAATCTCTTGGCATGGACACACACTGTTTCGATTTGATCCTGTTGGTCGCTACAGCGGATCTAGAAAATGGACTGTGAGAGGGTTTTCATTGACATGAGGAAGTTGGACCTTCCACTAATTTGCGTATTTGATGTGCAATTGCATCAAATCAGAGACGGGTTTCAGACGATTATTTCATCAAATTCGCCGATGGGGGTCCGCACTGGCTTTTCTTGATACTTGCATTGAAACTATTTACTGAGGATTTTGCTGAAGCATGTTCATTCAGAAAACCCTTGCTTTTAATTCCGACATGTAGTTACAAGGCATCGTCTTGTTTGAAAACAAATTCCCCGTTGTAAGACAGTGTCGCATTGCTTTTTTTATGTTCCATAAAATTTTATCGCTGTTTCTGTACTGGTGTAAGGGGTGTAAATATTGTCGTGTGGCAAAAGAGTTCTTTGTGTATATCCTGTTTGTATCTGTGCTTTCTCAATTCCGTGGACCTTGAGTAGGCGAATCGATAACATGTTTTAAGTGTCAATCCCTCAGATTATCTCCTTTTTTGGATAGCTTGTACCCTACTTCTAACCATGGAGTGTTACGGAGGTCTTCTGGATTTATTTAGTTACCGAATCGACTTCTGCAAGCAATTAACCATACTGTTCTTTGTTCTGTTGATGGCCAGGCTACCAAGGTGTACTGCTTTGTTCACAAGGCACCAGTATGTGCCGATTGTATATGCTTCCCCGAACATCGACTTTGCGTGGTATTTATTTATTTTTGCTGCTGCATTAGTGAAACTGACATATGATGTAGTATATGTAGGTCATCGAAAACCTAATTCTGTTGGATAATGTTTGAGTGACTTTGAATGACATGACCCCTCATGTGATTGACCATAAATTTTTTAAAAACATTCTTCAAGTTTATCATCTGAGAAGAACATGTGACCTTCCTTATTGTGATAGTTGCAAAGTCTTTGCTACTATTTTTTCTTGGGTGAGTTAGCTATTAATTTTCCAAGTCCGTATTTCTAACCTTGCAGATCAGAACATACTCAGACTGGGTCATCGATGGCGATTATGATTGGCCACCAAAATGCGGCGCATGCCAGAATGATCTGAAGGATGAAGATACAATTACAACACGGCTTGGATGTTTGCGTAAGTTTTTTCCAATTTGTGGGCGTAATGGTCGATTTGGACCTCATATTTGCATCATCTAGTATCTGTTTTACGTATACTCCCGAAACTTACCTTTTTAACATTTTCAATCCCCTATAGTTAGACCTTGCAATGTCTACGTATTTTTATTGTTCCTTCATGGTGAGAGCTACAAACTGACTGGAATTTTAACTGGATCGCAGATAATCTTCACACCAGCTGTCTGCAATCTCATTTGGGAAATTTTCCACCGCATACAGCCCCTGCTGGGTTTGTCTGCCCATCATGCCCTACAGCTGTAAGTTACGCTAGGATGGCTAATGTGTTTTTTTCTCTGTTATAATCGACAAAGACTTGTAGTGCCGTAACAATCGATTTTCAGGCTTTTATGCTAGAACTTTTCAATTCAAATAGGTTAGAGGTGCGGTTCTCAGTGGCATGTTTATTGTAGAGTCTAATCGCTTTCCTGCTTCATTAGATTTGGAGTTTTGTTCTGCAGCTGACATCTCGTTCATCTAAATTTCGAGCGGGAAATTTGTCTCTCGAGACATCTGTTTAAACTTTCTACATGTTTTCTTGTTGTAGGTGTGGCCCCCAAACAAGTATTTTAAGGAATCTGGATCAGCTCTTTACAGTAATCTCAAGGAAGTAATAACTCAGGTGTGCACGATTAGTACAGCCTAATATGATTTTCGTTGTGATCCTCTACTTTTAAAATATCATATCAAGATGTGTCTTATCAAGGCTCTTCCAATTAGCATGTCATTCGAGGTCCGCCCCTACCGAGTACAAGATGATGTGCACGTTTAATTGAATAGCTTAACTTGAAGTATGTAAATGAGGTCATGTCAACTATGAGCTGATGTTTTGGACTGGTACAGGTAAGTTCAGCAAAAGTGCTTCTTGGATCTGATGCAGCCGTTCAGTCAAGAGAAACTCCTCTGGCGTTCTCCACCGGTCCACTAGCTGAAATTTCAATCTCTGATGTTGGATCGTCTGAGGGCGACGGAGTGCCCACTGCTGCAGCTGCTGATGCAAGCTCCTCGACGGTTCCTAACATTGTTGACAGCAATCATGTTAACACTAGCGATGTTCCGTTGTCTACGGGGGCCAACATGGCACAAGATTCGGGTCCAACAAGCAAGACCACTGGCCCAACCTTTGCATCAACAAACATTAATATAATTTCTCCTGATTCTCGATTTTCCAAGTCAGTTTCATCAAATGTAAATGCGCTCGAAAGCTTTCCTCTCCAAGTCATTTTCGTAACAATAATGTGTACTACAGTATTATACATTTCGATTGAGAATTATGAAATAATATCAAGTCGAAAAAAGCTGCTGGTTCTTAGATTTGAATGCAGTCAATTGCTTGAATCAAGAGTTCATCATCTTAGTTCTTAATCTTCTAATTGTTATGTGTAGCAATCCCAACCAGGCGCCACCACACGCAAGCATGCCATCCGTGTAGATAGATCACAATTCGAAAATCATGAGGAGCACGACGATAAATATTCGAAAAGAGGTAAATAGTACCGGGACATTGACTTTATACATGTCACTTCGGATTGGATGTGTCGTTATTGATCTGTAACACCTGATCATGCGAGTGAGTATTGCATGGTGTGGAATAACAGTAAATCGTTTTGGTTTTCATGGTCGTTGACCTTGCCAACATGCTTACACGTGCAGGTCCAGCGTATAGACAATTTTTGAAGTATGTGCCCTTCTTCTCTAATGGACTGCCGACTTTACCTATAACTGCCGCTGATGGAGAAGAAGCAATGGATGATCGCCGACGGCGTCGGTATCGCTCATCCACAATGGATGTCAGAAAATTGATTCTTTTATTTGCAATCATGTACGTTACAACTAAATCCTCTTTTTTTCCTGGCATAAGAGAGCTGCTCTATCATCCTCCATCTTTGTCACTAAAATTCTGGTTTACCGTTTGATAGTAGATGTTAATGTTTGTGAAGTTTTCGGTTGTATTTGTGTATCTCACTTTGGTTTGGACTTGCTGTTTAGTAAGCCTTACAGTTTAGAAACTTTGTTAAATGCATCGCTTACCGTTCTGTTTTTATGAACTTTTAAACAGGTCATGTATGGCTACTGCGATGCTGTTATACTACCGGCTTTCTCAGAGCTCTGGTTTTTCAGGTGATGCAGAGTCGGATGAACAGTGACATGTGACTTTGGTGTAGTTCCGGATCTGATTTCATTGATTGATACTTAGTGATTAGTACTTGGCAAAGGAAAATGGCTGTTTTACAAGTCGTTTTGTTGTCCTTAAGCTCACCATAACAGACAACCATTTAGACTTTATGCAGCTGTAGGAAATTCGGTAGTTGCACTTGCCAACGATATATCTTCACCTCTTCTGACAGTCAGTACCCTAAGCTGTCTGTTTAGCAAGTAGGTAAAAGCAGGACCCATTTTCTGTATTTAAGACCAATTACAAGTGCCACTCTATCCTATTCGAGTAAACATTCAGAACTGAGGCCTTCTGTTCTCTGCCAACATTGTCTTAGACTCTAAAGTTTTCTGGATCATGAATACTCTTGCGATGTTTACTTTCATTTTTACTGAGCTTACATCACTGCTAGGTGTCATTTTATGTTGCGTTAACAGCAATACAATGAATGACAAGGTGTAATGGGATCACACATTCCACAGCACTGCAGCACACTCTACAGTCGAGCCAAGCCAAATGGTTTCTTTTAAGTATTCTGGTCTCTTCAGTATGGTATCATGTTCCTACCAGAAGATCTTGTTGTCATCTGATGAGTGAGCAATGGATTAAGCTTGTGGCATTAACACAAGAATGCTGATAATGAGTTGCTTCATAAGGATGTCACTGTTCCACCAGGGGTTGCCTATAAGCTGCTTACACCATGCCCATTGTGTAGCAGGTTACTGCTAAAATTTTGCATGGTTACCTCAACATAATATTTGAACCTGATTGTCGTAATTGCATAAATCATTGTAATCAAATCCAAAGTTTATTTATCCTTATATATTGACTATTATGTATCATCTTGTGTTTCTAGTATTTCTGTGCACTTCTTACATAATGTAACAAGTAAAGATAGGTTTCATATGAGAGAAATGACAAAGGACCCAGTGGACATTCACAGGACTCTCATTAGTCAAACTTTTACTAATGTTTTTACTAGTGTTTCCTGAGTTCACAATAAATGTTTGTAACACAGGATAATAATTCCAATAGTTCACGTAAGCTTCATAAAGATGCCTCTAAATCTGGATATATTTTTGAAGTGATATACTAAGCAAATTTATACTGTATTTCATTTATATTCCATAAAAGAAATATTGTCAAAGTACAAAATCACTTGAAAAGGACACAACAAGATTCATGTGGAAATCAAACAAGAAAAGGATAAATTTTGGATTCCTAATGGGCCAAGATTTTACTTGTGTGTAATTTTTCAGCTAAAGTATTAAATCATGTTAAAAAAAGATATTTTTGCAAAAAAATATAAAAACTAAAATTTACATAAAAATAAAAAAAAGAGATGTCAAAACATTCTATAATACAAAATTATATAATATATAAATAGGTACATTTTTAAAATATAAAATAAATTTGGTTAGATGAAATTTATCATTCCTTATACATGTGTGTCATGGACATACCTATTCTAATATTTACCTATATAATTAAGTAGAAGAAGGTAAAAGTAAATTTATTTCATAATATTTTCTAAAAAGATTTGGTAGAAAATTTTATTTAATATTAGAGGTTATAGATTATTCTCCTTCAATTTAATTTTTTGAATATATTTGAGTTATCTATAGAAAGAAAGATTATGGATGCTACTCTTAGTGGAAGTGTGAATAGATTTGCAACTATTACAGATCTTTACAAGCTTGTTAACACTTTAAGAGTCAAAATCTCACATATTTCAAACATAAATTATGGAAGTACTATTTCTATACCAATGGAAGAAGTTCAGAGTCTAAGTCAAAAAGTTATGCAGTTGAAGGAAGCAAGTAGATCAATCTCACAACCAAATCCAAGAAGTTTTACTTCTATAAGTACTATAGAGACAAAGGTTAGTATATACAAGAAGTTTGATGGAACAAGATCAAAATTTTGAAGATTTTTGCAATAAGTTAAGTTCTATTTAAGGTTGCATTTCTTCCAATACTTTGATGGATTTACTCAAGTTGAATTCATTGGCGCACTTCTATCTAGAAGTGTTTTCTTTTGGTTTGTACCTTTGATAAAAAAAGATTCATGATTCATTTTTTATCTAAATTTATTCATAGAAGTGTTTATGGCTTTATTCAAAGAAAGTGATTGAGAAAGAATAATAAGGACCAAGCTCTTATCTTTCTGATAAGAATCGCAGTCAACCATCATATATATTGCTGATTTGCAAAACCTTACTTGTGACATGGACTAGAATGATAAAGCCCTTATCAATCAATTTTGATATTTGTTGAAGAATAACATCAAAGTTATTGACAATATTGAAGCAAAATCTTTGAAACAATTTATTACTCAAGCTATTTCATATAACAATTAATTATTTGAAAGGTTTTAAGAACAAAGACTTGGTTTGAGAGGAACAAGTCAAGTAATAAAGGCAACTCCCAAATTTTCTAAAACTTATTCGTCAAGGCCAAAACCAAAGCAAATTGATATGATATATTTTAAATTCTTCACAAAATAAGAAAAGACTCAATGTTCTTAAGAGATTTTGTGATTATATTATAAAAAAACTAAGCACATTACTTAATATTATTAAAAGAAATAACGTAATTATAAAATGAAGAATATGATTGCCAAAGAAGATAATGTATTAGAAAATGAATTTTTCCAACTACAATAGGGATTGTGTGGCTAGAATAATATGTTACACCAAATAAAGGTTTTATTCTTTCTTTAGATCTGTCATCTTGCTTTATAATAGATATATATATATATATATATATATATTTAGGATCTGAAAATCACAAAGTCTTTAAATTATTAGATTCAAGATCTTATTTTATAGACAAATACTTTGTCAAAAAATAAAAAATATCTTTAGTCAAGAAAATTAAACTCATACATATAAAAATCATAGATGATTTTATTATCTTCTAGAGATATTATCCATGAAATTATTCCTTTAAATGTAGAAATTAAAGATCATAATAGCATACTAATATTTAATATAATAAGATCTCTTTCCAATCAAGTTATTTTAGGATTATTGTAGTTAAAAGAATATAACCATCAAATAGATTAGATTTTTTATAACTTTAATTTTTTTGGTGGTTTAATCCAAAATTCCACTAGTTAAGTAAAAATACATAATTTTAGTATATCTAAATTTTTACTAGTAGAAACAAGAGCTTTTATACATGCTTCAAAAGAATAATTATCTTTTGTTATATATGATACTTTCATTTCTAATGGTGAGAAGATGTCAAGTAGTATTTTTTGTTGATATAAGATTTTTAAGATGTTTTTGAAAAGAAGAATGCCTATATTCTTCCATAGCATCAAATTTATGATTAATCAATTAATTTCTAAGAAGAAGCTTAACTACCATTCAAAGCAATCTATAGCTTATTACAAAATGAATTGGTTGCACTAAAAGAATACATTGATGAAAATACAGCTAAAAACTTTATATTCCATTCAAAATCTCTAGTATGAGCTCTTATCTTGTTTGTGAAGAAAAAAGATGGATTACTACAGATATGCATAAACTATTAAGGATTTAAGAAGATCACCATTAAGAATAAGTATCTTCTATCTTTGATTTCAAGACTTCTTAATTAATTGAATTAAAAAAAGATCTATACAAAAATAGATCTACAATGAACTTATAATCAGATATGTATTAAAGAAGGAGATGAATGGAAAATTGTGTTTCAAATTAGGTATTGACATTTTGAATATAACATCATGACTTTTAGACTCACAAATACATCAACTGCTTCTCAACATCTAATGAATGATGTCATTTTTGAATTTCTTGACAATTTTATTATCTATTATTTGGACAATATCTTAATCTATTCTAAGAACATAGAAAAGCATGAGGTTCATGTTTATTGTGTGTTACAAAAATTTAGAGATGTAGGATTATATGCCAAGTTAAAAAAAGTATAAATTCTACCCTATTCAAGTTGACTTCCTAAGATATATCATTTCCAACAAAGGACTAACTATAGATCTAAAGAAAGTCTAGACTATTATAAATTCAAAGATTTCAAGAACAGTAAGACATCTACAATGCTTTTTGTACTTTATCAATTACTACCAAATCTTCATCAAATTTTTTTCTCAAGTTGTAACTCTACTTATATATTTGACTTATAAAGACAAATTTCATTGGAATAAAGAAGCCAAAGCATTATTTGATATTTTAAAGAAAGAGTTTACTTCTCCACCAATCTTATATCATGTTGACTTCTTCAAAGTAATTTTCATGGAAATAGATGCATCAGACTTTGGCTTTGGTGTACTATTGTCACAAATAAGAGTAGATGAAAAATTCCATCTATTAGCTTTTTATTTCAAGAAATTTTCAACAACCAAGATTAATTATAAGATCTATGATAAAGAGCTTTTTGCAATCATGGATTCATTTCAAGATTGGCATCATTATCTAAAAGGTACCTTGAGTCTAGTCACCATGTATACAGATCACAAGTACTTCATGATAACATGTATTTTGAATTGTCGCCAAACTTGTTGGAGCATGTCTTTATTAAGATTTGATTTTAAAATTATTTATTGATCCAAAAAACTATGAAATTTATTGAACATCCTTTTTAGATATTCTTATCTTATATCAAAAGAAAAAAATGTATCTTTAGATCAATAAAAAATGGTTCTTTTGAAGCTGGAGTATTTTCACCTTCGAACAATAAAATCAATATTAATTATTGATTCAATTTTTATTAAGCAAATTAAATCAAATCAAATATGTCTTTTGATCTTCTTGGTTATAATATCAAGAATAATTCGTATAAGTCTTATAATATTTCCAAGTTTAAATTCAAAAATAACCTATTCTATTTTGAAAAACAATTATACATTCCAAAAGGCAAGGCATGATTACGTGTTCTTCGAACACATCATGACTTTTCAACTACTAGATATTTTGGAGACTATAAGACTTTGGAGCTAATATTGAGATATTTTTGGTGGCTTCAAATGTGGAAGGTAGTCAAAGACTTTGTACAATCATATAATATTTGTTTTAGATCCAGAACTCCTCGCCATCAATTTTATGGACTTCTTTAGTTATTACCTTTTCTACAACAATCATAGTCTTTTGTTTCTATAGATTTTATCATAGTTCTTCTAGACTCAAATTTAAATGATTTTATATTCATAATAATAGATTATTTTACTAAGATGGTATATTTTGTACCATGTATAAAATCTATCACAGATAAAAAAAAATATGTAAGCTTTTTCTTTACAACATCTATCACTGTCATGGATTGTGTAAAGACATTATTCAAATAAGAGAACTCAATTCATATCAAG